ATTAAAAAAAATGCCTGTATAAAATTATGTGATTATATAGAGTTTGTGATTATATAGGAGGTGATTGTATAGGAGGATGACTGTATAAATTTTATATATACCTTAATATTATGAGATGTACTAGTGTTTGTGCTTTTACCATTTTCTGCTTTATCATAATTAATAAAAATTTTACTAATACCTTGTATAGCACCAGTTTGAGTTAACACAAAGCTAATTACTGTAAAAACAACAATAATAGCAAATAGAATATTATATAAATTTGAGAAGCTGTCTGAAGAATTCTGCTCAAAAGTAGCAATATTAGCACTAATGCAGCCTAAAACATTATTTCTGCTTGGCTGTAAAATTAAAAATTTAGAAATTTTATAATTCTCAAATCGTCAGCGAACCTATTCAAATTCTTATTTGGATAAGTGTTATTAAATATTATGTTGTACTAGATATTGAAAATTGTACATATCTTTGAATCTGTAAAATTATCAGTTAATGAACCAATAAAAATATTATATGTTGAGTTGGTATAGAAGCATGATCCAGTTGATATATTGACAAAACATAGTTTATAAAGCTTATCATTTTTCTTAACTAAAAATAATAGTTGTACTAGAGAGTAAAGTTAATAAACATTGATATTTAATTAAGAAGAATGTCAAAATTCTGTTAAATTACCACATTTCTTTAAATCATACGTGGTGACTCTAAACATTGCCTGATTACTTTGAGTTGTATTTGATAAAAAGTATATTGTGTTAAATGACAGGTAAATATTTAAACTAAAAAAATATTAACTTGGTTCTTATAATACTTTAAAAAATCATAATTGACAAATCATAATTTTTATTGAATTTTATGCCTAATTGAATTATTACCATTTTGGATATTTTATATTTAAGTATAAAGAAAGATCTAGAGTTTCAATACATCATATTATTCTTAAAAAAAGTAATACTTGCAACTATCTTAAGTTTGCTAGTCAGTGTATTCTTTTATTTTCTGTTGTAAATATTTTTTCTTTCTTTGTTTATATGCATTAAAATATTCATGATATACCAATTTTTAAATAGTTTCTAAGTACTTTATTAATTATTATATTGTAAATGACAAGTGTCAATAAACAAAAATTTACAATGCTGT